AGGTCTCCATTATCTCTCTCTCTCTCTCTCTCTTTTTCTTTTTCCCACTCTCTCCCTTTCTCCTTCCCTCCACATTCCTGATGAAGAGCTATAGGAGTTTGGAAAAGAAGACAGCTGATATAACTCAAGGACAAAATGGAATTCAAGGTTACAACTGAACAAAGTAGTTAGTAAATGGTGTTTTAGGTGAGAGAAACAAATTGATTACAAAGCTTTTTTCTTTAACATACCTCATTTTTCTTAACCTTTATTTTTCTTTCTGGATCCACATTTACTAATACTTCCCATTATTTTTCCCCTCTTTCTTTCAATATGGTTTATGTATTAAGAAAGGCCTGGGGCCTTCTCCTCCTTGGGAGGCCTTCACCTCCATTGGAAGGGGACCATTAAGAAAAAATTCACAGAGTAAAGTTCTTTAAGCCAACTAATATGTATTATAAAAATGAGTATCCCCAAACTAATTCTGTTAAGCCTTGGTGTGTGAATCCCCATCCAAGGACACATGATTTTCTGTCGAAGACTATAAAGCTGAATATCAGTCTTTTGGAAATTTCATGTAACATAAATAATTTTCTATATAAAGAAATGCATATATGAATAACTAAATAATTGGTAGACATTTTTAAAAAATGAGTGTCCCTTTTCTTGGATTTTCTTTATAGTGTTTCTTTTTGTTATCACAGTGATAAGACTTTGAAGATGAGGATTAAAGTATGAGCCTCAGAGAGAAAAGGGCCAAGGGAGTCATACAATCTCTTTTAGTTTAGGCCTTAGGACATAGGTTCAAAATGACTCTTCAGGGTTCACGTATGGTTGACCACATCTTGTTACAGTAGGAGAACACACATGTGGCTTGATGTTAAAGCCTTATATTAATAAAGCTAGGGTATTTGCCTACATAGCCACTTCTGTTTTCACCAGTTTAGTTAGTTCTTCAAGGACTTGGGAGCTTTCAGAGCATTGACGTCTCTGTCTTTTACCATCAAAGACATGACTATTATGTAGTATGATCAAAAGATTGCCAGGTTAGTTTGGGAATGACAACTTGTGGATTAGAATTACCCTGTTTTTCAGGAGACTGGTGAACAAATACATATGGGAGCTAACATATATAACTCACATTGTAATGACAGCAAGAGTCCTAACAATAATCAGTGTCATTCCCAAAATGCCTTTCCTTATCTTGTCCATCCTGGCCTTTAACAGCAGCAACACTGGTAGTGTTATGATCTTAACTTTGAGGGTCAAAATGAGTATATGGGCCTAACTTAGGATAAAGGAACCAAGAATTTCAGTCCTACTAAATCTTATCAAACCTTAGGCCAAAGGTCCCAATGGGGCACAAACAGTTTCACTTTATGTGATAATGAACTATAGGACACAGAGAACTATTGTATATGCAAATAAAAGGTGGTATACTATGTCATGCCGTAATTAGTAGCGGAAATATTTTTAAAAAGCCAGTCAACCAACTCATTGCTTTATTTTCATGTTGCAAAATACCTTGTTTAGCCATTTTTTTTTCCAGCATTTATTGACTTGACCAGTTTTCCTGCTATTATGCTGATGGAAGCTAAAAGAACATAGGTGCATTCACATACTTATTTTGACTTAGACATGCTTTTGGAAGAGTTCAGTAATACCAAATTCCTTATTTTAAGAAGAAAGATATTTTGAGAGTTTCTACTTTGTTCAGAAAAAAAATGAATTAATTTTCCATGGCCAATAAAGATAAAGCTAAGAAACTCTTACCCTCTTTGGCACAAGTGAAAATACTCTCTTAGTAGCACTACATCATAAGCTAAGAAATGGTAACTGGCTGCAAGCATGATTTCAAAAGAAATAGTGGAGAAGTTTGTAATGCCACCATTTAGGAAACCAAGACAGTTTATATATGATGTCTGTAACTACTGCTTTACTTTTAATGTAGGAGAATACTTGTTTTAACTCCTGATTTGCAGGTGAACCAGAGTTAGGGCAAGAACTATTCACCATGTGAGGCTTGTTACTCCATAATGGTTTACATTGTGCTCCAGCCTTTTACATCTGACTCTGGAGCATGGACCTGGGAATCAGACAGTCTAGGTTCAAATCTTAGCTTTACCATTTACAATTGTTACCTTTGGCAAGTCACTTAACCTCTCTGTGCTTCAGTTTTCTCATCTGTAAAATAGAGATTTGAGTGATACCTACATTGTAGAATTGTGAGGAATGAACGAGCTAATATAATATGCTAAAAATAGTGCTTAGCACATAGTAAGCACTATGTAGCTGTTCACCGTATTTATTATTGCTATTGTGATGAGGGAAGATGGGCTGGAACCACAGGAAAACTCTTGGCTGATGCCATATGAAATGTATCAAGGAACCAATATGTAGAAAGCAGTAGAGTTAGGGGCTAACAGATAATTTAACTGCCAAAAAATGCTAAGCAGGAAACACTTCTAAATATTCCTGTTTATACAGGACATGACACAAAGTACAAAAATAATGAAAACAGAGCCTCCCTGCAGGATTTAGAGTTCTTTCATATATATTTTAAATATACATGTGTAATACATTAAAATATATAGAGATGTGTGAATATATATTTACATATATATTATATATATATATATATATTATATATATATATATATATATAAAATCACAGAAGGGATACATATGCACACTCACTCACACGTCCATGCGCATACCCCAACAGGACCCATCTATACGTAAACCAGATGCAGTCCATATCAGGCCAACTTGGACACAAGTGAAAGCCCTGACTCAGCAGCAGATTGCAGATTGCAACTGCATTTGAGTAACCCTTCAGTTTCTTCTACCAACTGTAAGGCCATTTAGAAACACACTGAGAAAGGCTCCTCTGGGTGTATGGCAGAACCCAGGGCCCCTCTGGCAGTGCACAATTTGCCTGAGTTAGGACTGCAAGATTGGGATATCAAGGAGCTATCAAGGAGGAGAGGCTTGTGTTATTTTGGGGCCTGAAAGTAATAAGCAAACATCCATAGAATAACTTTAGCTCCAGGAACAATGCACTAGTGTCAGAGAATCCTTAGATAACTGAGCTCTAAGCACATTTCAGGCAGAAGCAGAAAAGTGTGTGTTGCTACTCATCACCATCCAGCTTGGCCCAGAGAACTGGGCACAGGTTTTAGGGGTAGATAAGTGTAAATTACAATATAGCAGACTTGTAAGATTAAAAAGTTACTTAAAATTGAAGGATCTGAAAGCAACATATGAAGTTACAAGTATTGGTTTGGGTTTATAAATGTTCCAAGAAGCTTAACCTTATATATGGCACCATTTGCAGCAATATCATTAACATTATTAATCATTATCATAACATATTTGTATATACAAAAATAGAGCAAAGCAATTCTAGAAGAGGAGGTGTAAGTGAAGATGTGGGGCTATGTGCAGCCCAAATGTCAGTACACTTCAGGAGGATTCAGAACCAACAAAGACTGAGTGGCACGTATTTCCAACAAAAGGATATGGATGTCCCCTCTTCCCCCATGTATGACTATACACTTCTCCCCACCTCTCCACCCTGCAACACACATCCATGCACACTCTACAAGAGATGATCTATAAATTTAGAGTCTGGAGATCTTAAACTACGTTGGAGCACCTTGATTTCAAGCAAGTGCCCTCAATCTCTGAATTCCTCAGTGAATTTTGGATTCACTTAAAGAAAGGAACTGTATAATTCTTGTGTCTTTCAGCAGCAGTCTTTAGGAGCCTGCCATCACCACTGCAGCTTTTTCCCATTGAAGGGGGTTCACGGCACAGGCTCTCTGTTTTTTAAGAGAAAATTCAGTTCTCTGAATTATACATCTTTCATCTCAGTTTTTCACTGTTGCTGAAATTTTAGTTCTCAGGCAGCTGCCATTGCAGACAAAGCCAGGAGCAAGCACAGTGTGTGCAGCAAAGAGTAGATGCAATGGCGAAGATACAGCTTGGTAAGAGCTTCTTTAAGGTTTTCTTTTCCACACTGGAGCTTCTACAAGGTGACAGAGCCAAAGGTGATGTCCACTGGGGCAGCCTCAACACCTGATAGTTAATTAGCTACCCACCATGCACTGGAGAAAGACCACCACACTGACTTGGCATGGTTCCTGAAAAGCTATTGAATGGGAATGGCTTTCTGTCACTGTTAATAGAGCCCTAGGAAAAAGTCCCCTGACTCACTGTGGTACAGGGGTAAGAATAATGAACTAGGAGTCAGAAGGCCTGTATTCTAGTCCCAATTCTGCTGTTAACTCAGTGTGTGGCCTTGGGCAAGTCCCTTCCTATCTCCAGGCCTCAGTTTTCCCATCTGTAAAATAAGGGCATTGAACTAGATTAATAGTTAAGATTCCTTCCAGCTCTAACGTTTTATGACTTTTTATGTCCATTATTAAGGCCTGAGCCATGCAGTCTCAGGGCAGTTAGCTTCTAAGAGAGAACATACCTCTGTAATATCCTTTGCTTCGTTCATTTAGCTATAAAGCACGTCTGCCTTTGGCACTTGGGTCAGACATACAAAGTTATGAGCATCCTGATTTACTATCCTACTCAGCATGCTAGTGGAATCTGTCAGTATGATAAGTTGATTATTGAGACAGGGAGAAAAATTCCAACTAGTTAAACCTGGAAATGTAAGATAACTTTGCCTCATGTGCTCACAAACAGGTGAGCGTGATTGTGAGCACACACACACATCGGGATACAGACTATTGCTAGTGATCAGTTCATTACAGTAATCCATTTCCCTTAATAAAAATTAGTAAATAGTGTAGCATAGCAAAGTTTGGTGTCTAAGGAAACATCTATGGAAAAACAGCACTTTTGGACATGTTAGAGGAAGAGGGACAAGTGGAGGGAGACAAATATGGATGAAATGAGATAGAAATACAGGCAGGGAAAGGATCAGTCTGAAAAAGGAGGGGAGAAGTAGAAAGGGAAGAAGAAAGAGAAAAAGTAAAAGTAGAGAAGGTGAGAGTGAAGGGGAAAGGAATACAGAACAGAATAAAGAGGAGAGAGGAGTAAAGAAGAGAAGGGCAGTAACAGGGAGAAGGGGTCATATTCCCTGGAAGGTTGAACGCTGTTCCACATATACCTGTGAAAACCATATTAGAAGAAAGCTTCCAAAGGCACAGTGGAAAACAGAGTGACAATCAGAGCCTGCATCGAGAGGTATTACATTGGGGAGCCCCTAAACCTCCACGTTGCTGGCCCTGTCAGTCCTCAGTGTTCAAACCTCATACCTATATATCACCTGAATTTGCCATGACAGCCCTAAGGGCTGAGCTGGCGGGGTGTAAAAAGACTGAAGAGGAGTGGGATAGATACTATGAGAAAGAACAAGGCATCCTGCACCAGGATGTACTTGGTCATTCCCCTGACACTGCAGGAACAAAAGAGGAGAGGCCCTAACTTTGGCTAGTTTATCACTCCTCCCCTTCTCCAAAGATGAGGCCTATGCTTTACTGTTGGGGGCTAGAAGGAGAAAACCTCTGAATCCACCTTGTGGGAAGGTCATACAGACTTTTCCTGGGCCTTGGGGAAGGGTGCACTACCAGAAGAGATCTTTCTGCACACAGTGTTGGTGTGCCTCTTGCAGCGGCAGCCTGGTCGCCGGAGGCTATCATAGCCCTGTTGGCACAGATGGAGGCATCCACGGGTAGGCAGGTAGCAGCACAGGCAGGGTAGGAAGAGGGAGATGAGGCTCATGGCTGCCCAGCGGACAAAGCAAGAACTAGGCCCACAAGAGCAGGGCTCATCAGCACAGTTGTCTTCATCATCAGTGGAGCAATGGTAGAAGAGGCCCTTGACACAGCAGAGACAAGTGCCATAATCAAGGAGGCTCTCAGCAGAGCAAAGGCAACGCTGGTTGCACAGCCAGCAGGAGGGGAGAGGGCGAGCTGCTGTGCAGGGGACACACTTGCAGCGCCCACACTCCTCACAGATGAAAAGGTGCTCACTGGGGTGCCCTGCAGATTGCTCAGCTTCTCCCTTCAGAGCACCATCAGCCTTTGGGTGGGGCCCTGCTCCAGGCTGTGTTCGGATGACGGATTGGCCTGAAGGTGAGGGTGTAATGCTGCCCAAGAGCCTTTGATCAGAGGCAGTGGTGCTATGGGACATTGAGCTGGCAATGCTAGATTGGCTCAGATGCTGAGGCAAGGGCTGCAGTTGATGGCACTGGCTGAGACTGCGGGGGAGAGAAGTAGGCATGGTAGCCAGAGACCAATCAGACTTGTGGGTTTGCACAATAAGGGAAGGGCTAGAGAGGGCCTGTTTACAGGGGGCTGGAGGCCGTTCCACATAGTCATTGCTAGCATGAGTAGAGCACAGCTGTTCAATAGGCAGAATTTGTTGAAAATCATCTGTCACCGCAGCATCCATTTTGACTTGATTTTTGAGCTCTGAGTGGTTTTAGGTCAGGGTGGCACTTATGGTGATAAAGAGGAGCCCTTGCAGTTACATGGACCTCAGGGCACATGAAAAAATCCTAGGAGACAAGGAATAAAAACAGTAAATGAGAACACACAGGCATAAGTTCTTTGCAAGAAAAAGCTCAGGCCCTGTCACCACCACTACCTTCAATTACTTTATAGTAACCTTCATGCTACACCTTTATTCTGTAATTAACCTCACCTACCTCTTTATAGCCAAATCTGATCATCCCATGCAGACTATAAAGAAGTTTGGGAACAAAGATCAGATAGTTGATTCTTTTTGTATTCCATCAAATGCCAAGTTTTATAGGAGCAGCTAGCTCATTCAGGTATTTGCTGGCAGAGACATCTAATCCTTGAGCATCAGAATTCTAATACAAATGGAACATAATATTAAATGCAAAGGCTATTTTGTGAAGCAATGCTGAAGCAGAAGAGAAAACCTCAAAAGTCTACACTAGAAGTTGCTCATATATATATATATATATATATATATATATATAATATATATATATATATATACATAACCAATCAAAATTATCTTTTCAGTGTAATTTATGATAAGCAGAAATAAACAGATGAGAAAGGACATTACTTGATTCAGTGAATACAGGCAAGTGAGGAGAATGCAATAAAGGCAGAGATACAGCAAACACACAGAGGGCAGGAATTAAGCTGTCTGTAGTGTGGTAGGAAAAAAAAGCCTTCTCAAGGGCATAAGAAAGCGAAGAGTAATCATCTTGCAGTTCTCCTCACCTTATTGGCTGCTTTAACTTACTAAGGAGGTGATTCTTTTTAAATGGAATGGTGGCTCCAGAATCAAACTTTTGTACATGTGGGAGTAATACTGGGGATCAAGGAACTATAGAAGACAAGTCCTGAATTATTTCAAAACTTATCTGTAATTATACCTATCGCTACCTGGAGTCAACTCCATATTGATGGGACTTACCAAGCAGAATCTGCTTGGACTTCTTTTCTCTATCACTACCTTACACAATAAACCGACTTTCTTAAAGAGTAGTGACATTCTTATACCATATTTAAGCTAGGCTGAATATCTAGAAAGCATATGCTTGCATTTCCATCATACCACAATCAGGAAGAGTTGGCTGGTCACTCCCTGAAGAATTTTACCAAGCCTAGAGCTGACAATGATGACCATGGGGAAAATATTGTACAAATAGTGGACTGCAGTATCACACCACCTAGAAGACTGAAGAGCCAAAAATGTGTACCTGAGGAAACCTCAACACAAATCCAGGAAACATGCTGGAGGCATTAGGACCTAGGAAACAGTAGCATGAATAAAGTATATATTTGAGGTCCATCAGCTTTCAGGCCTCCTCAAAATAGATCAATTACTCACACTACTGTATGTGATGGATAGCTTGAATGAATAATAGAAATGAACAAGTGAGAGAGGATGGTGCTTGATTAGGTTTCCATAAGCAAGCAAACACGACACTGAAATGGGCCCAAAGCTCAATAACAGGAAAAACAAGGATACAGTTCATAAAGGATTCAGTGGCTAATAATATGACCAGACTCAGTTGACTTTTAAGGCTATATATTCATGTAAATCTGATTAGCTGAATTTATATTTGTTCGTGTTTTGAAAATAATTAATTTGGTTAAAAATAACTTTTTTAGCACATCACATCAACCAATCTGACAAAAATTTTACTTTTTACCTAGTTGTTTTGATGTTAAATAAATGCAGCACAAAAGAATGCAAATAAAAATTATAGAAACTCTCAGACTCAAATACTTATGTCATTTTTGTCAAATCGCTTGCTTTCTTTGGGCCTCAGTTTTACCATCTATGTGAAACTGAAGGATATATATGTGAAGTGAACAAGGTGATCTTGAAGGACCTTGACCCATTATGGTCTGTATTTCCTTCTATATCTACACAATTTTACAAAATAATTCTTTTCATCCATATCTTCTACATCTCCAAGTCCTTGACAGTAAGGTGGGAAATGTGCCCTTAGTTATTTGGGCATTCAAAAGTAAATTGTATGTTTCCTTTATTTACTTGCACTCAAAGGCTCATGCAAACTGCCACCTCTATCTTTGCTGTGTCTTTATAGATTCATAGTCTCAGAATTGGAAAGGAACAGGGAGCTTTCATGTAGACACCCAAATAAAAAAGGACACATTGTTCATTTGGCTTGGAGGGTAGTAAATGTAGGAACTTGGGACTGGGAGAGTCTTTTGACAAATTTATGAGAAATAGATTTATGTCCCATTGATCAGCTAAAGGATATGTAGAGCCCTGTAAGTCCTTTGTACTGTAAGAACAATAATATACGTGCCAAAAATAATTTAGACTCATTGATTTTCCAAAGGAAACTAGATTCAAAACATATTGAAAATTCCAGGAAGCAATGATTTAAAGGAAGCTTTATAAGGTCTCAAAGTTACAGGAGATAAACAGGTGAGATTCCAAAGACAGGATTCCAGGGATGTCACTAGGCACCTCAGGGACATGCCCAGAAGGTTGAAAGCTAAGCTGGGAGGAATCTAGGTCATAATATAAATGACTCAGAACAAATAATGAGAATTATTTTCAAAGGGGATCCTGTCTAGGGAGCAGAAGGGTACATGGTGTTTAGGCTGAAAACCTGTATTTGAATATTGATTAGATTTCTGCAAGACTGATAAGTGGAGATGCTTGGTTGGATGATTAAAGGAAGCTGTGGGCATCAGTCTAAAATAATGATGTACTGTCTTGCTTACAGGTAAGGGGACTGACAGGATGAACTTAGAAGGTTTCTTCATGCTCTGTAGAATCTTTTATTCAAATAGACTCTGGGATCTAATGTGGAAGTTGGCAGTAGGACCTGAATAAAATCAGGGTGTTGAGTAGGATTTAAGGATTGAATGACAATAAATTGTTTGCCATTCCAGACGTGCTGAATCTGATCTGGCTAATGGGATAAACTGAAATAGATACTGTACAGGAAGGTATGAGGGAAAATATGTTGAGAAGGGAATAGGAAAGACACTGCTGCAGCACATAGACTAGATGAAAAACTACCACTACATGAATGTTTATGATTCAGAAATCCACCCATTAAAGAGCCATTCATTGTGAGCAACAGTTAAGAAACTGACTGTGCAGTTGGTCAATTCCATATTCTGTTGAGAGAAAGAGGGAATCAGAGAGAGAGAGAGAGGGAGAGAGAGGGAGACAGAGAGAGAGAGAGAGAGAGAGAGAGGATGTACACATCACATATTATTAAGTAAGAGCAAAGGTGATTACAGGTCTTGGCTGCACATTGATGGGATCTAGTGATTTTTGTCACGTAGTGCCTCTGCAGTAATGAATGATGCATTGTAAACCCACTCCCATCCCGGTCTGTCTGGCCAGGTGCTCATAGCTTTCTAAACAGTTTTTCTGTAGCCCTGAATTTGCCATGTTCAACCTAAAAAAAATTCTTTTCTTATGCCAATTTAGGGACTAGAAAGCTAAGCCCATTCAAGAAATGCTAATGTTTGTTAATGAAAGAAAATGTATTTTTTCTCTGGAACCTAAAGTCTGCCATGTTGAGAATAAAGTTGAAAACTTTCCTATCCAAAGCCCTTCTATGCCAACACCTTAAGACAGTTCTGATTTCTATGGTAAATCCTTTCTGATACAGTATGACTCAATGTTGATTTCAAAGAAGAGGGGGGAAGAGGAGAGCCTGGCTTCTGTTTTCTCCCACTCCCGTGGGTTCAATGCTGTTTTGTACCTTACTGTGTAACAGCTCTTAGGTGTGTTGATTTTTTCTATGCTCTGCTGTTATATACACTCCTTCTCAGAATAACTGAAAGCAAACATAGGGGGAATTTCTGCTATGGTGTTATATGTTTTCTTAGTTCTACTGTTCCAAAGTCTGCTCTCTAAAAATCCCTCTCTGTGCAAAAGCATTTGCATCTCTATCAAAGCACTCCCCCCTTACAAATACCAAGTTGTATATAGTTTACATTACTAACCTCTCTGCCACTGACTGGGCCTCCCTCCTACCACATACATCTTGCTGGAGCTGCCAGGTTCTCACCACATTTAACTCTTAACTTGTCACTTTGCTACCCTAGTCCTATTCATTACTTTAAAGGTTTCATTAAGACTCGTAGCAGTTTATTTCAAACCAGGGAGTCTTGCAGTTTTAAGACCTTGAATTTTTAAAGATATAGGTCTTTTAGTGATGAATGATACAGGGAAAAATTGTAATACCAAATGAGTTCACGTACTTCTAATTCTGAGGAAAATGCTAAGAAGCTGGTTGTTCATGTAAGAAGTAGGAATCTTTTTTAAAAACCCAAATCCTTTTATATGACACAAGAAATTTAAGTTCTAGTCCTAATGCTGCTCTACTTTGCTGTGTGGCTGTAGGCAAATGACCTATGTTCTGGTCCTCAGTTTCTTCATCTGCAAAATGAGGGAGTATAAAAGGAGGGGTTTTAAAGGCCTTTCTTGTCCAGATGCTCTAAATTTTATGTTGGGTTTGTTGATTGCATTTCTCTGTTGCAAAAGTCTTTCAGGAAGAATTAGTCTCCTTTCCTTTAGGTTCTTTACTTCCTCACTACTCAACTCCTCAACTCTTTATAAATATCTTCAAATCCAAGTAACTCAGATCACTATCTAGACTGTTTCACAGCTAGAGAGACCTAAAAACAGAACACAAAGAGACAAAATATATAGAACGTTATAGAAATGTCTTAGTATATATTTGTTTAGAGGCAAAGAGAGCAAGACCAATATTTCATTGTGGATAAACTGCTAGCCTGTGCCTTATTTGTATTTATGAATGCAGCTGACTTTTGGGGAACATGATTTAACACCTGATATATCCAAATTAATGTGATAACACATCATGTTACCGCGAGGTTTTAATAGTCCCAGAAAAGCAACAACAGTTTGCATTTAAAAACAGATTTTCTGCTTAAGAGTTCAAGGTTTGTTTTCTGTTCATCCAACTTGGTTTGCAGCATGCAGAGGTGAACGATAATTATAATTAACTGCATGGAAGTGAGTGTGCAGTAAACCATTGCCCTAGGTCCTATCAAATGCCTATTGGCTAACTAGACATGCTCACAGGTTCTCACTTTTGACAAAATTTCCATATGCCACACAGAGACATGTGCACACGTACCCAGGCACAGATCCAGAGATTTCTAAATCATTGCTCTGACTCAATGTAAGTGGGGGGTTATGCCGTGTCAGCTTGCGCCATTTCTACCCAGGGCAAGGTGATGTGATGAAATCTGAACGATGCACAGCCCAGACTTGTGAGCCAATAGCAGGCTAGCCCCACGCTGACAGGATGCCCGCTGGGCAGCCAGACTGGCCTTAGCACGGGCTCTCTCTCTGTCCTCAGCTTGGGTGGTTAGGCTGCGTTATGAGAGGTTTAGACAAGTACCAAAATGCATTTAAAGGTTAACAGGCTAGAAATTAAATTGACATTCTCCTACAAAAAGACTATTTTGAAAATCTATTTTGATTAACACATTTCCAATATGGATAGTTTTCTGCAAGAGCTGATTTATTTTAATATAATTTAAGGGGTTTTTATTTTATTCATGCGCTTGCGCGCGCGCGCGCAGGCGCGCGCGCGCACACGCACACACAGAGACAGCACAGGATGCCTGGAATGAATGGCAATCTGTGCATTGCATAGAAAGAATTCTGGGGTCTTTAAGAGCTAATTTCTATGGCTTACCTTGAGGAAAAGGTTTATCCATGCTGAGAAAAAGCAGAAGAACTAATGCTCCATCTGGCTCAAAGGATTTCTTCTCCTGAGTCTTCAGGTTTCTCCACCTCTCTTCGGAAAGTCTGAATGAAAACTCCTTCACTGGCAGGCAGTGGAGCCAGAAACAGAGATAGTTCTGTGTTGTTCTTTGACACAACAGAGAAAACAGAAAAAATAAAAATAAAAAACCAAAACCAAAAACAAACCAAAACAAAACAAAAAAACGGGGGAGGGGGCGAGTCAGACCTGTAGTGGCATATACTTTGTATAGATTTTACAGGCAGATCTAAATCTTGATGCACGTATTCCCCAAAGAAAGCTCAGCAGGGTAAGTTGTTCACCTCCTCCTCTTTCTCCTCCGCCTCCTCTTTCTCCTCCTCCTCTTCTTTCTCCTCCTCCTTCTCCTGTTTCTCCTCCCCCTCCTCCTCCGCCTCTTTCTCCTCCCCCTTCTCCTCCTCCTCCTGTTTCTTTTCCCCCTCCTCCTCCAGTATTTTCCTTCCCCTCCTCTTGCCCTCCCCTTTCCCTCCTCCCTTGCTTCCTCCTTTACCTCCTCCCCCTCCTTCTCTTTTGCCTCCGCCTCCGCCTCCACCTCGGCCTCCCTCTCCTCCAATTTGACAGATGAACAGAAGCAGCAGAAACTGCTGTTGTAGACACAGGGTATCTCTACGGAGCAATAGATGCCGCCACTGTGTGATTATTTATATGGCTCAGGGTGTGTTGGTATATAATCTGCAGTGGGGGCAGGGAGCGAGAGTGTTCAGCGTAGCTAACCGGCTGTTTTGTGAATGTAGATGATTTCTGGAGGTCTTGTGAATGGGTTATAGGGAAGGATGGGAAAGAAGGGATTTATTGCTCCTTGTTATTTCTTTCTCTCCCCCTCTCTCTGTCGTTTGCTTTCCCGGAGCTGTGGCTCTTAATGCTTGGCTAAGTGGCGTCATCCAGATGAAATTGAATCGACCCATTAAAACTCCCCATAGGAATCTCTGTATCCTGTCCCTGGGTAATGACTGAAACAAAATTTAAAGGAAAATGGGGGTGGGGTGGAGAGTAACAATTTTAAGGAGGTCTCATTTAAATATCTTTGCCAATCATATTTCTACCAATCTACTCAGCCTCTGCAGAGTGATTGCAGCTTCAATAAGATGAAGAGAAAGACCGTCTCCTTTGTTTAAGGGTTTCTCCCACCTCTTTTCTTCATCTGTTCCCACTTTTCAGCCCTAATGACTGTCCATCCATTGCCACTGTGAAACATTACCCAACCTACTTTTCCTTTAGCATGGCATGCACTCAACAACAAATATTTATTAAGTGCCTTCCTTTGTGCTAGGTGTTCTGGATTCAATAAGGAAAACAGACAGGATTCCTGCCTTCGTGGAGCCTCCTTGGGACTGAAAATAAAGCAGCCTTGGACATTTTCTCTTAAAGCCAAGGACAAAGCTTTCTGTAAATTACCCTCAGTCCACTATTTAATTCAATAGGAAAAGATCTTTCTTCTGGGCATCCAGACAGAAGCACTTGGATGACAGCAAGCTTTATATTTAAAATAAAGGAGATCTGATTTCAAGTCCTATTTCAATGGACAAGTGGCAGGAGCTTGGCCATCAACATTCTTAGGATGCTTTGGTTACCTCATCTATAAAATTGAGATGGTAAATGGTGACAGTTCACAGTAAAACAAACTGTGAATCAGGAAACTGAGATTCTTAATCTCATTCTAACTCCTTGTGTGACCTTAGCAATTTACTTCCCCATGAGAGTTTCAATTTTTACATTAACATGAGGGGATCTGATTAGGTAATTGCTAGTGTCCTTTCTACCTCTGACACTCCATCATTTACCCTCTCTCAGATGTGTTAAGAAGACAAAAGAAAGCATGAGATTAAAAAAAGTACAGTTGTGTGGGTCTGCATGCTCCTGTGTGTATGTGTGTGTTGAAGGTGCTCCAAATGCTTGTGATTACATGTATGTATGTTTATGTGTGTGTGTGTGTGTGTGTGATTTCTAAACAAATCCAGATCTCTTTTCTCATTTGGAATTTCTAGTCAAGAGATTTTCCTATGTAAATTCTCTTTTGTGGCTCACACCTTTTCCTTACTCTTAATATTGGCTTGAGCTTATCAAGATCATGAAAACCCTTAAAGCTAAACTGTAGGTTCATCTACAGAAGAAAATATACTTACTGATATATTTAATCACCCACTTATTCAACAAATATTTATTGAAAATTAATTATGTGTCAAGCACTCTTCTAACTAGATTCAGGTCAAACAGATCAGGGTTCGGATTTCTGCTCCTCAACTTAGGAGCTACCTCACTTTAGGCAATTCAATTCACCTCCTGGCATATAGCAAGCACTCCATGAATAGTAGTTATGAATGTTAAGAAATTGTTCTTCCTCTAATGTAACCCATAGGAGAGGCAAGAGATGATTTCGATTTGAAGTCTTTTTATTTTTTAAAGTCTAGCTTTAAAGTTGAATAGATGGGTTGCCTAATTCCTTTCCCTCCTTTACTCTGTGGGCCTATATTAAGGCAACATTGAAAACAATTGGGATTATTCAACCTTCTCACTTCTTAGGATGATACCCAGGACAAAAGAAGTTAAATTGATGATCATTCATTCATTCAATAATGCCTACTATGGGTCACTCACTAAAGGCTAGTAATTCAACAGCTAGATTTCCTGTGCTCCTAGAATTGACATTCAAGTGGGCAGGGAACATGTTTACTCTGTGCCAGGTGCTGTTCTAAGAATTTTACACGTTTTAACCTATTTAATTCTCACAACAAATCTATGAGGTATATTTATAAATGGTACTGATTTTTGAAATGAGAAACCAAGGTCCAGATTTTAACTCAGGCTTACTCATTCCAGAGCTTCTACTTTTCACCGCTATACCACAGTATCCAACCATCTGCAAATCCCTTCAGGGATTTTTGTTCTAACTTTAAAATGTTATTTGGTAAATGCTATGGTCTGAATATGTGTGTCTTTCCAAAATTCCTATCTTAAAACCTATCCACCAATATGATAATATTAGGAGGTGGGGCCTTTGGGAGGTGATTAAATAACGTATGTGGAGCACTCATGAATAGGATTAGTTCTCTTACAAAGGAGGCCCCGAAGACCTTCCTTGCCACTTCCATCATGTGAGGACACAGCGAGAAGGTGCTGTCTATGAGGAAGCAGGACTTCCCCAGACACTGCTAACTCCTTAATATTGGACTTCCCAGCCTTTACAACTGTAAGAAATTTTTGTTGTTTATAAGTTATCTACTCAAATGTATTTTGTTACAATAACCCAATCAGAATAAGATAATATTCCTGAATATTCCATATCGTTGCGTAGTCCTTTGCTTTTCAATATCCTGCTCACTTTTCCTGAAAGGCCTTCCTAACCTATATCCTTTAGATATGGGCCTAACAGTTACTTATTGCAGGAACAGCCTTGCCTAATCACCTCTCTCTTCAAAAGGCCAGTTTAGAACAGACTTGTCCTCTTTGTGCTCCAGAGGCCCCCTTTGTGCTTACCACCATTACGGCATTTATCACCCTTTAATCGCCTGTCTCCCATTTTAGACAGTGATCTCTTTGAAGACAGATATAACTTTTATTATATTTGTCTTCAGTGCCATATCCCCAAGGCCTAGCATACTGATCACTAAATTAATACTTATTGAATGAATGGATAAACAATTTTGGAAATCTACACGAATATCTTTATTTGTACTTTAAGCTGCTTTGTTTCTAAAAGACAATTTGAAGTTTCATGATTTTTGATAGGCTATAAGTATAGTACAATTATACACAGAAATTTGTTGTTGAGACATTACAAAACTCACTATGTATTGACTGACAATTTCTTTTACAAACATGTTAGATTCTTAAAGCAGTGCACCAGAAAATTTGCTTTCTTAGCTCCTTAGTTAATGATGTACTCTTCTGAAAACATTTTTACAGATTCATTGAGTTGTCCCATATCCTACAGTTGAAGGCATTGGATTGGGAAACAGGAGACCTGTGACAGTGTTGGGCCTAGAAGTGAACACAGGTTTCCTGTTTCCCAATCCAATGCCTTCTTTCTCTTCTTAAGGCACCTTACTGACATTAGTTCAATTCCAATTGAATTTGGACATATTGTCTCAGCATAGATCAACACATCTATTGCTGAAAGCCGTTGATTTCCAATAAATAAATGAGTAATCTTAAAGGACTCCAGAAAAGTTGCCCTGTCTTGGAAATATCTTCTTTACTAAGTCTGTTTTAGAAATCTCTGAGTTATGATTTTGTAATGAATAAAATACATCTTTCCACGCTTTGTAGTAACTGGTTTTCAGATCATTTCTGATATGACAGTTAACTCAAGAACATATTAAAAGAAGGGACAGTATATCTAACAGAGTATACTGAATAAGGACAGTAGAGCATGGGTGAAAATGGTGAAGGAGTTACAAATGTTGAAATAAATTAGATAGATAAGGATTCAAAGAGGAACTGAGATATGGGCTCTGGGCAGAAAATGAACATCTATATATAATTCACATGAAGGGTATATGTGGAAAGCTGGATTAGTAGCAATGTGCATGGAGTCTGAGAAGAGTGAAACGTTCAAACTGTCTTATGTAAGAGGTATATTGAAGAGAGGGTTGGAATATATAGTGTTGGAGAATAACTTGAATGACAGGCAATTTAGACTTAGTGCTCTGGGAATTAGAAATAAAAACGATGAGTTCGTGTCCTATGTAGGGACATGGATGAACCTGGAAACCATCATTCTCAGCAAACTGACAGAAGAGCAGAAGATCAAACACCGCATGTTCTCACTCATAGGTGGGTGTTGAACAATGAGAACACATGGACACAGGGAGAGGAGCACTACACACTGGGGTCTGTTGGGGGGAAATAGGGGAGGGATGGTGGGAGGTGGGGAGTTGGGGAGAGATAGCAAGGGGAGAGATGCCAGATGTAGGTGATGGGTAGGAAGGCAGCAAATCACACTGCCACGTGTGTACCTATGCAACAATCTTGCATGTTCTTCACATGTACCCCAAAACCTAAAATGCAATAAAATAAATAAATGAGAAAAAAAAAGAAATAAATTTTAGAACAAATGAAGGAAGTATGAAAATAAGCCACATTTAAGAAAGATAACATTGGGCATGATATATAGGAGGTGGGAGATACTAAAGTCAGGTCAGCCAAATTGGGGTAATTTGGAGTAATCTAAACAGGAAATGATAAGGGCCTGGTTAGGGTATTGACAGTGAGAATGGGAAGTAAGTATGAGATGTTTTCAGTTGAATATGGCAATGGCAATGATATCATTGCCATACTGAGAAGTTGGAAGGGGGAGGTCAGTTTAAAGGAATAAATATACAATATTAGGATTAT